TAATTGAACTGCAGTCACAGGGTATTGTTGAAGTTAACGTACGTTCGTTATAGTGTTGTTTTAGCGCGAGTATTGAGATTAGCTGTATCGCAGAGTTATATTCGGAAAGATAAACCAGTTTTATTAAGTAAAGACTTGTGTCGTTAAAGTTTCGTTGGAACGAAGTTACGAAAAAAATCAATTAGCAAACGGAGACGTAACAATATATATATATATATATGTATATAATGAGAGAGAGACCTCATTAGGTTTGAAGAGGCGTGGCATTAGGTTAGGAATTACTTGGCGTACAGTATAGCGTGACGTTAATATTTTTACAAAATAGTATCAAATTAAATCGGATGTTTGTAGAACGTAATTTTAATATGTCAAATTAATTCTAGCACAATGAGACAAGGAAGAAAAAGCACGAAACTAATATTAAATGTATAGCTAAACATCTACTATGGATGATATTATCTATTTTGAGAGAATAGCAAACCGTTTACTAAAGAGGGCGTTACTGAAAACAAGGAAGTATAATTTTTTTTTATATTTTTTTAGCAAAACGTTAAAATGGCTGAATGCTGTTTGTCTCGTTGTGCCAAGAAACGACGTTTTTTTCGAAAAGAACTTCAAAGCTGGAGCAAAAATGTTCTATTTCTCGTAGGTGGGTATTAAGTAGTGTCATTCAGTATCTTAATTAATTAATTTATTCTTCTGGATGACTTGCCTGTTTCGTATTTAGAAAACTGTAGTAATTGGAATTTAATGGAAAAAAGTAGGGCCAAAAAATAAAATAAGGCTGAACCTGTGATCAAAATGAAATTTACAAATGGAGATCGGTTGGGTGAAATTTGATTTAGGTTGAAGATAGAATCTGTAATAGTGAACCAAATATTTTGGGTTGGTATATAATTATAGTTTGTTTTCAATTCTACGATTTATGAAATTGTGTAGAAAAAAAAGATATGTAGACAGATTATTAGTTTCCGTATTTTTTACAACAGATAATCTTAAGCCTTTTAAAAAAAACGTTTTTTATTTTAAGTTTTTTTGAGGATGTAACTGGATCAATGGATGGTATTGATTACAATATGTATCCAAAATAATTTTCTGATTAATATATCATTAAATGTCATACTAGCAAAATTGTTCTATACACATTTTTAATAATTTTATATATTGTGTTTATGTATGTATTATACATATGTATAAAGGCTATTGACAGTGTAGTGTAAGATATGAATAGTTGTTCACAACTCTCGGTATGTGGAATACCAGAGCTTGAATCCCATTTTTAGATAACTTGTTTTATGTATAATATTTTTTGTAAATTGGATTTTGTTTTGTTTTTAAATATAAAATACACAGGACTAAAATTATATTGGTAGCTCAGTAGACAGAATACAGGAAATTGTACTTGTGGAATTCCAATCTGATAAGATTTGACTGACAAAGTTTCTTGGCATCCCATACCTGAAGTTATGGATAAAAAGGCATTCAAATACTGTAGTCATGATAGGTATCCTATGGTGGGGTTGTTTGCTTGGATATTGAATTGTGTGAACTTTGTAAGGCATCAGTACTGGAGCATTAGTTAATGTAGTCTAACAGAATGCATGGCTGACCTTTAACATATGGATGTATTCCTCTATCCTCAGGTCTAATAAATTGTTTAAAATTTATCATTGTACAGTTCTGATGCTTGTGTGTGAGAATGTGTCATGATAACAGCAGGTTGTCTTATGTCTCAAAGATTATAATGGATGATTGCTAAATTATTCCTTTGGAATAAAATCCAGTAGTTGTGACTAAAAAGACTGTGTGAATGAATATTTGTTCAAAAATGTGATTTACACTTGTAATGAGAATAATCAGAGGCTTCTAATTCTGAGTTCATTATTAGCTTAGAGATGTGTGTTTAAATTCCAAAAATTGTTTAAACAATGTTGTTTTGAGATACATAATATGTAAAAATGATCAATTAATCAAAATTAATGTTTCTGATTATTAATTTTTTTCAATTATCCAAGTAATAAAAATATTGTCGTTGTGGTTTCTCATTATTATTTTTGACTAATTCATGGTTGTTAAACTTAGCCAATTAGTGTCACGACTCATGAAAATAGTAAATTAATTGAAATTAGTGGTTTGATTATTACTGTTTGTCATTATTTCAAACCTTGCGAGAATGATTCATTAGTTTAATGTAATCAATTAATGAGCCTAATGATTCCATTAATCTTTTAGATCTAATCAGAAGTTTTGTGAATGGTATTTGTATTTCAAAGAGTTTTTGTATTGTGAAGAACATAAATAAGGTTAATGATGTGGCACAAAAGGAACTGTTAATTTTAGTGAGAGGTATATAAAAAATGCCAAGAAAGGAAATAGATTTAGTGGATTATTTATAATACTTTAGATCGTTCTGCTTATTGTATGATTAGCAGAAAACTAACACATACTGCTATTTTCTTGCAGAAATTATTATGGAAATAAGGATGTTTTTCTTACTTTATATAAGCTTACAATAAAAGTTACAAAGTGATTCTAGAGTTTCTGTTAGAATTTTTCTCTGAAATGTAAGGTTAATCAAATTTAATATTAGAAATGGTGAGGTGATTGTTGATATTTCTTGTTTTTTATTTTATGGACTGTAGCTAGAAATGGTTAGAGGTTATTTGTACAGGCTTTTCCCAATGGCATGTATAGTTGGTTTGTTATTATACAAAATAACATCTTTGAAATTGTTGGTTTCTTTATGGATTTTGAGTCCATTTTACTTCACCATATGGTAACCCAAATTAATTTAGGCATGTGAATAATGTTATGATATTTTGTTGAATTCAGTATTATACAGCAGATCAACTGTTTAATTACTGTTTATATATATGTGTTGGTCCACTGTATAATATCGAATAAGGAATTTGAAAAAATGTCATAACATTATTTACATATATAAAGTAATTTAGGTTATTATATGGTGAAGTAAAATGAATTCAAAACCCCCATAGATATTATATACACTTTACCATTATAAGAGACCTAATGGTATTTCTTTGGTTTGATGACCCAAACTGTACTGATGAGCTTTCAATAGGCAAAACTGCAGTCCACAGCAGAGGCCATGACCAATCAAGGAATGCATTAGGCCTCTACATCACAGATTTTCTTTTCAATTTCACCTCTGGTGAAAAAGAAAAGAAACATTAAATATATATATATATACAATCATTAAATGGTTGGTTTCTCTATTGATTTGTCTAATGAGATGGTGTGTGTGTGTGTGCAGACAACTTGGGTTATTTTGAAGGTTGGTAATTTAAGTTTATAGACAGAAACAAGTTTACATTTTTGTGCGTGCGTGCGTGTGTGTGTGAGAGAGAGAAATTGTGAAGTTTATGGTATAGATAACCATTTTATGCTGAGTAGCCTTCTATAATCCATGAAATAATACATTAAAAGAGTTCAGAAAATTACAGCTTTTAAGAAAATGAAAAATTCCACAATAACTAATTCAGTGGTCACAGCTTCAAAATTCAACCTCGTTATATTGTTGTAAGGTATTCCCAATTTCAGTAAGTTACCTTCCATGTAAGAATAGTATATGTAGATAACAGGAATAATAGCAGAAAATGTGTCACAGAGTTGATCTGAATTTCTGACTGACTGAGTTAATGAAAGGGACTAAACACAATGTAAAATAAGGTGCAAAGTAATACTTATTAAACAACACAAATAAAAGAGAGTGCACAGATGAGTGGGAGAAGTTGGTCAGACAGAGCTGCCCCTCCACCATGAGAAACAGCTAGCATCATATGGTAAAGAGGGAATTTCCACAAGAAGAATTATGCTACTCAAACCACAATGGGAAATTGTTTTCTATGGTGTCCCATTGTTCTACCACCTGGGAGCAGGGACCTAATATTCATCTGAATGTAGAGGTCACTGGAAGTCTCGGCCTGTTGTTGGCTAAGATGGAGCAAGGAGTATGCTGCTACCAATGTCACAGGCTACCGTGAGCAAGTGAAGCAGATGTTTTCTGCAACATTATGTAGTATAACCAAGAAAGACCTGGACTCAAGGATAGACAGTACAACACCTGATGTCAAGTTTGGACAGATCATCAGTTGAGCATTTGAGATAAGAGCAACTTGGTGATTGAACCACAGGTGTGGCTGGCTAAGTTGCACATGATGGAGAATTGAACTATCCATTGTGCTCATTTCAAGACTCAAAAGAGAGACACAAGGAGATCTTGTAGGACTTATATTGCCTATACAGGAAGGCATATCCCACTGTAGAGTCAGCAGATCACAAGGTTGTCATCATAGGTAAATTTATTGAAGGTTTGCCAAGCCATATTATGCAGAATCATTTGGGTGTGAAAGATATTCCACCATAATGGGGGCAGTATTTATGGCAACCAGATTTAAGGTGATAACATTGAGCAGGCCACGAAGGGAGGAATAGCCTGCAGTGATTGCTGCAATGTCTTTACCTTAGTCAGACCACAATCCAGAAATGTATGCATTTCAAAAGATATATTCCTTCAGTGGGCAGTTTCCCAGGGCCTCATGATGGTTGTGCCACAACAAATGTCACTGATGACTTTCATCAGTGGCACTTTGAATGTGAGGATCAGAGCATTTGCTGTGGTTGTAGGTTACTACTGAGTGAACTACCCATATCTTGTTCAACAAGACAAGAAAACCTAATTCCTCCTAACAGAAGTAGGAGGGTCTCAACCTTACAGGTAACTATGGCTGTTGTTATTTTATGCTAAAAAAATATGTAGCCTAGGTGAGGTTTGAACTTCTATGTGAGGATGCAGTATTCAACTTATTTTGAAAGATTTGTTGATTAATCCAGCTTGTTCATGGCTGGACAAGGCTTTGTAGTATGTGATGATAAAGCTTACATGTGCACGCAGTTGCATTCCTGGTTGATATAGGAGCCACCAGTACACATACTAACTTTACAGTGTATCGGGCACCATCTCTTTCACTTTAGTCATCTGATACAAAATTTGTTCTGGTGAATTGTGATTGACAAGATGTGTGAAGGGAAAGGTACAACTCTGACTATCTGTAGGTCATATCACTTGCAGGAAAAAGGTGGTTGATTCTGGTATTGGGATCTTGCGGCTGAACTTATAGAAACCATGAGTTTGAACTGTACAAAAGATGAACTGCTTTTCATGGACAAACCATTATTTTCAGGTCAAGAATAGTGAACTGCATAACTATGTTGAGGAGGGAGTAAAGGTATTCCCAAATGTACAAGCGATCTTATGTAAGGCCATAAGCACTTTCTATATGTAATGTTGATTCTTATGTATATGCCAATATACTTCTGTTATGACAGTGGAAGTCACGCGACGCTGGGAGCATGCGTACTGGAGTTTTTAGAAGGATCGTGACTTAGCGGGCAACCTCACGATTGTTCAAGCGTTTGCTACGCGCCTTCTTTCTTAGTGTATCAGCCAGAGATGGGTTGAAGAGAAATAATTGAGATAATCGAGTCAAG